GCTACTGGTAGACCAGAATGCATTGGGTTCATTCACCCAAGCTAGGCCAGAATGCATCAGGGGTATAATACAGTAAGCAAATAGAAAAGGCATGCACCCAGGCTACTGGTAGACCAGAATGCATTGGGTTCATTCACCCAGGCTAGACCAGAATGCATCAGGGGTATAATACAGTAAGCAAATAGAAAAGGCATGCACCCAGGCTACTGGTAGATCAGAATGCATTGGGTTCATTCACCCAGGCTAGACCAGAATGCATCAGGGGTATAATACAGTAAGCAAATAGAAAAGGCATGCACCCAGGCTACTGATAGACCATTCACCCAAGCTAGACCATAATGCATCAGAGTTATCAAATGCTATGCAAATAAAGATGTATGCACCCAAGCTAGACCAGGATGCATTATGTTAACTATAATCCTCACAGCGACATACATAGCTATAGAAAACTGTTATGTTCATTCAACTATCAAACATGAGTACTTACTTTGTCTTTGTATGACTGGTTCTTGCTCCAAGACATTTTCGTTGTGTTTTAATTTAAGATTTGATTCCTTGAACCCTTTTCTGACAAAAGCAACACCTGAATTCTGGGACAAAAAATGCTTTTAATTAGTCCTCAAATACTATTCCCCCAGGGGGGGGTACTCTTGCCCATTTAGGGTAGGGATGAGCTGCTTAGCTCACTGAACCCAGACCCTGTTCCAGAGTAAAATCGCTGAAATTCATACCCTGCTCCAGAGCAAGATCGCTGAAAATCATACCCTGTTTCAGTATTGTGAAAATGGATACCCCGTTCCAGAGAGGAGAGATTGTGATTTCATATACCCTGTCCCAGAGCAAACACGATTTTATACACCCTGTTCCAGAGTAGAATCACTGAAAACCATACCCTGTTTGGCGCCATGTACCCATATAGCAAATATGGGGGAGTACATCCCCCCCCGGGATTATTCCCTTATCTTTAAGTGGGAAAGATCTTAGATCCTCATACCTGGAGATTTTGTGAAAAGGAAAAAAGACCCTAACATACACATGCTCCTCCATGGGGGAGGTATGGATCTTACCGTCAGACCCTCTCCTCCCCTTGTAAAAACATAAATGGATGTTTTTTCTTACCTCTAATTCCTCAAAAACTGCTTTTTTATCAAATTTAGCAAGATTTTCCTAGAGATAACAAATGTGCTAGGTCAATTATGTGTCTTTTCCTTATCAAAAGAACTAAACATCCGTGTAAAATACATAAGAGTCAAAAATTTAATTTATTTCATTACTAACCTCAAAGTCAAAATCCAGTGTTTTAATGTCATCTATACTTTGTCCAAAACATTCCTTTTCACAAATAACAAATAAATGAAGTGGTTTATATATTTATCTTTTTTACAAGCCTCAAATTTAACTTTGGATCTACATGATTTAGTTACTTAAACTTCATGACTAAACACTGCAGTTCATTTCATATTTTTTAATATTTTCAAACCTTGAACCTTCAAAATTTATTGAACCCTGCATCTACTATGCGATCGACTGACCATTCCTCATATCAGTACTGGTACTGTACTACTATACGACTGTCTCACAATGTACATTCAGGCCTCGTCCACACTATGCTGGATAAATTTGAATCCGAATTTTTATTAATTCGGTTCCATTTCGAAAATTCGTTTTCAGTGTAGAATTGTTCCGGATTCACCCGGAGTAGTGTGGAAGGTAGGCCTAACCGAATAAATAAAAATTCAGATTCAAATTTATCCGGCATAGTGTGGACGGGGCCTCAGATGTCAATCCTACAGCATATATTTATAATAATGATAATAATAATAATTCACTAATGTATGTGATGCTGAGTCCTGGAAATTCACCCTAGACCCCAGAGGTGAGAGGCAAGTGCACTACCATGTGCTGTGTCACCCTTGATTCTTTAATACGGTTGATTTAATAGTTTTTTTTACCTTGTTTCTTGCACTCATTGACTTATGTTTGCTCTCCTGATTCTTCTTTGGAGTTGTGCTTCTGTCTCCTGCAGCACAAATAGCTAAATTTCAAATTTAAATTTAAAGAAACTATTTGGGAAATATCTTAAGATTGTAGTAAGGAATCATGTTTTTAGTAATGAGAGATGTTAGAAAATACCTACCTGGATATGTACTGGATTTTTTCATTCTTCCTGGTTTTCCTGGACTTGACCCTACCTGAAAGATTATAACCATGTTCTGGTTAACATCTTCAAACAAAGTTTCAAATTTCCAATGAAAAATGACGATTGAATGACATGTTGTATTAAATGCTTTAAATGACTTCCCCTTTACTAGATATATATTATTCACCCACTTACTTTAGTAGGGGTGGCTTCGGCAATCAGTTGGTTATGACTGACTACCCCTGTTTTTTTACTATTTGTTGTGGAATCAGAGGGGTTCTTAACTATCTCCAAGTCTTGAATGTCTTTAGCACAGATCTGAATTTCATTGGAAAGAACTGCTTGTCCATTGTGACGAGCTAAAATGAAAAACGTCAAGTCCTTGAGTAAATGTGTATCTTTTGTACGGGAGAGTCGTGTTTATAAAACATTTGTTTATGCATGTGGAGACTTGTCTCAAAGTGCTTTGATGGATGTGAGGCCTTAAAGGCAAAGATTAATTGTTGTGGTCAAAAACACTTTCTATTATACTTAGCATTTTTTTAGTCCAGATTAAGTATGACTGTAAAACAGGATCACACATATGGGACAGGCTAATAACCAGTCATCACTCATGCTTATGATTACTTTCTCTTCCTTCTTTTGCTTGATGCACCGTGAACTCACTAAATCCCTCCCAACAACCACAGTTTGAGATCAATAAGAGTAAATAAGTGACTGGGTACGAGTCTGCATATGTGACTGGTTTTGAATTAACAAGATCCTTTTAAACAAATTACAGCCTATAGGATCATGTTCATCAAATAAACATGTTATAACATTTCTTCTGAGATATAGTGACCATGTGCATTGTGGTCTAGGTTGGGTACAAACATTTTTGTTCACCATGCCTCATGGGAAGCACTAGTCTCCCCCACAGCCGCTTTCAGTGTCGTCACGCAACGCTTTCTCCCCTGAGTAGCGGCTGCTTACCCGAGCACAACATTCCTTTCCTATTGTTTGTGTTCAACCAATCAGATAAGTCTCATTGTGTTTCAAGAACCAATCAAAACGTTTCGAATTTGACAACTTGTAAACATTCATGAGAGAAATAATTCTAAGACGCACTTGAGTGGAAGTTGGAGAAAATCTTTGGGAAATTAAAATTGAATTCGTTCTTGTTAAATGTTTAATGCCCTCCCCCCCCAAAAAGTTATTGGAGACCGAACTAAGTGTTTTCTTTGTTCATAAAGGAAGAAAAGATTTATGTTTTTATAAGTTTAGCTATCGACATTGTTTTATCAGCTGATAGTGAATTCGAGTTTGTACTTGCTATCGAGCTCGTACCAAAAYATTAGAAGCAAAAAGAAACTGGAAAACTTTTTTAAAAAGCGTAATTTAGACTCATGGAAGTTAAACGAGACGACTCAAGATTTAAGAGATAGAATTCGAAAATAAAGTCTGAATCTTAACAAACGAAGAAGTTGAGCCACGCAGATCACTTATTTTAAACAACGAATGCAGTGTAAAGCTAAAGAAAATCGGCTAGGTAACTTTTAAATCTGACACTGTCACACCGTTGACTTCTACGGGTATTCATTGTAAACTTCTGGGTAATGCTCACAGTTCTGGTATTTACTTCGCGTATACTGCGAGGATTAGCTCAAATTTGATACTGTTAGAAAAGTTGTTTTGTTTTGTTCACACTGTTAGGAAAGTCGTGAAAAGTGAACACGAATTGTTAGCTAAAGCGTTATTTTATGGCCAACCTTCTAACGTCGCCTTAGCATTTATATGAAATGTCAAGAACTTCGAACTCCTGTTATTCAAAAAGTCCTCGAGCTTGTCTCGAAAGAAATTACTGGGCTATACTCTAAAGCGCCAATATTTTATTCCTTTGAGCGATTTCCCATATCCAGTAGGCAGATTTTCAAAGAAATCTTGTTTTTCTTGTAAAATCTTTCGTATGGCGTCTTTCTGATGATCATTAAACTGTTTGATGCGAAATTTCTTAGCTGCTACCTCGAATACTTCCTCTAACGACGCATCTTATTTTCCATATGGCGCGAATGGTTCCTGGATTTCAAGAACTAAGCCGTGATTGGTTAATTCATAGGAAAGGAATGTTGTGCTCGGGTAAGCAGCTGCTACTCAGGGGAGAAAGCAATGCGTGACGACACTGAAAGCTGCTGTTGGGGAGGACTAGGGAAGCACAGGTGGCGTAGCGATGAGAGCCTCGCCTCGCCTCTCACCGCTGAGCTCCAATCAGCTCAGTGTCATATGTGAGTAGAATTGTTTGTTGGTTCTCTCCTGTGCTTCGAGGGTTTTCCGGGTTTTCGTGCTTTCCTCCCTCCGCGAAAATCAACTCCTAAATTCCAATTGGAATTACAGTGGATGAAGAGCTACTCTGTAGAAATGCCACTGTTAAATCCCATTTATTTTATTTATTTATTATTTTATTTAAATTAATGTATCAGTACCCAAGTTTCTAAAATCATAAAGGAACTTTTAAAGCTTAAATCTAGTGTCAAAAGTGTCAAACGTTTACCCCTGACTCCAGTCTATAAAAAAGAATCTTGAGTGGCCTTGTTATACCCCATAGCAATACTGCTATACAAGGCTGTGCTTACAAAATAATACACTCATTCCATAGTAATTTTGTCTAAACAAATGTACGAGAAAATACAATTGAAAATAAAGTCTTAAAGCTAGTTACAACGCAACTATAAAATTCCGTTGTAAATATCTCTAAATTCAGAATTTTTAAGCTAAATTAATTACAATGCTTATCTAAGATGGTCCCTTATGAAGTCAGGAGCTCCTTATGAACGAATAGTTCAGTAAATAAGCTTTAAGATTGAAGTTTTTAAAGTAAAATTCAGTGGAAATGCAAAATTCTTACCTTCGTTCAGGAGAAGAAGTTGTTGCGAATCGTCAACATTTGCTACTTTACCTTCGAAAATTCCTAATTTACCGCAGTCTAACTTGACCCACATCCCAAGAAAGTTACTTATCGAGGCCATGGGGGTATAAAACCTCTTTAAAATGTTAAAAGACAAGTATTTTTTGAGGATCTTTAAGCAAATTTTACAAAACAGCAAAAATTATAAGAACAATTTTTGACTAGTTTCAGGGAAACAGCTGACTCGATATTTGCGAGCAACGCCTTGGAGTTTTTGTAAGTAAATAATTAGCATATACCAACTGGTGTACTTCCTAAGAACGCGCGCGCTCATTGGTTAATTGGAGGTGAATATTGTACGATATTCACCTCTGAATCTCGGAATATCGAGTCGGTAACAAAAAGGCATCTGCCGGCAATCGTTTTGCTTAAATTTCCGAGGAGGAAATTGAAGAAATGAAAGTGAATGCCCTCCTATCAATACTAAAAAGGCAACGAAGTATGGCCTAAAAGTTTGCTAAAAGTTTTGCGTGAATTTGTCACGCAAAYTTAAAGTTTCTGTTTGTTTGTTTTTATTTAATTATTGTATATAAAAATAAGTTACTCTGTGCACAAGCTCGAAGACTCGCGTCTCGGTAAATATTCCCCGATATTCACTTCGCCTTCGGCGAATAATTGCTAATGATAATGATAGTAAAAAATTGAAAATGATAATGATACTTTATTTAAATAAACCTAGAAATAGAAATACACTCGTTCCAAAGCTACTAAAGTTCCAATGCTTAATATTTTAAGATAATGATAATGATAACGATAACGATAAAGATCATCATCATCATCATCATCATCATCATCATCATCAACATCAGGGGCATTATTGATCACCAAGGATAGACATTGTCGTACTTCTTCTACAACTGCGTAATTTACCAGTTTACTACAGGTAGGATGTAACTCATCCTTCTGAAATTAACTGTTGAACATGTTGGATCACCAGCCCCGGTATTTTGTTAACGCAAGTCCAAGAAACGGCTTGTAATAACGTCCCCGTCGCAAAATGGACTCGTTCTCTTGTAAATCGAGACTGCAAGATTTTCAAACTTCCCGCGCGCTTCAGTGATTATGATCATAAGCAAAAGAGGCAGCAAAATGCAATATGGCGAGGTATTCTGCAACATGCGTTTTTGAGCTCGTGTTTTCAAATCTTAAACCACATGTAAAACCCTTTTAAAAATCGTGAATGATAAAGTTGTTTCTTTGAATTGCATCGATACTTAATGCCATTATCTTCCGTAACCCCAGTCTTGTAAAAAAGGAAATAGTGCTAAAGAGAATCGACATGTGAGGTCTGAAATCATGACAATTTTGATTCTGGATTAAGAAATACCTAGATGATATGCGGAAACTCAAATGACACAGTTTATTCCATATTTTTTCGAAATGGGACAGGCTGTTTAGGGGACTGTGAGAAAAGAGAAGGAGGAAGTCGTATGCAATAATTAATTACCAGTAACTAGATTTAAACAGAATTTATTGACAGTTAATCTAATAGTGCGTTACAATGCCATAATTACCATGGCAACACACGTGACAAGTTTACAAATTACGCTCGATGTTCCAGTCTTTCTCGTCCTTGAATCGCTTCGTGTACTCTCCACGTTCTCGCTTCCTCGTTTTATAAAAGACGTTAAAATTATTGACAACAACAGTGGTTGGTAGCGCTAAAAGTGACGTCACACCTATCACCGCACAACACGCGCTGAAAAGTTTGCCAAATAAAGACGTTGCAACCATATCACCGTAGCCAACCGTTGTCATGGTGATGATAGCGTACCAAAAGGATGCTGGGATACTAGTGAAGCCGTTGAGGTCATCCTCACAGTAAAATAACAAACTCCCGAAAAGTACGACACTCAACAAAACGCAATACAATAAAAGACCAAGTTCGTTACTGCTGGAATGAAGGCTTTTCCAGAATATCTGTAATCCGATGGAGTAGCGTGACACTTTGAAAATACATAGGAATGGAAGGAATTTAAGCAAACTCCTCAGGGGGTAGGTGTCGGGAGTCAAGAGCGAACTGTTCTCAATTGCAAGTAACGTAAAATGAGGAACAAATGAAATAAAGTCGATGATTCCTAACGCAGAAAAACAGTATCTAAGCTTTCTTGAAGCCGTGAAAAGACGAGCAAAGAATTCGAGGGTGAAAATGGCACTACAAAATAACTCAAACAGAAGCCAGATATTCTTGTAATCATTCGCGAGGCCAAAAGGTGAAGAGTACGTTGTATTGATGTCGCAGTAGCTCCTAGGATGTATCTGGTGGAATATTGGCAGTGTTTTCACACATCTAATCGTAATAGACAGCGCTATTACGAACATAAACCAAACGCCCAATATTTTTCCATGTAAACTTTTTGTTGGTTTTTCCAGTAAATAGCGCAGCCGCTGAACAGTGTTCTGCAGGCTCCCATACTTAGTTTGATTCAAGTCGAATTCTTCATTGTATGTCACAGGCAGTTGTTTTTGAGCTGCTTCGCCGAGCTCGTAAAAAGCAACTTCTCTTCTAAAAACGTCATCTGGGACAAATTCTTCAACTGGTTTGACGAGCCTTCCATTACTTTGATAAAAGAATAATATAAAATCAAAGGTTGTATTGTCTCTGTGAAAGTAATACTCTCTGTTCACAGAGTTATAGTAGCGAGCTCGTTTTCTCCTGGAGCCGAGAAGCGTGTTAGGAAATCTCTCTAAAGTACTTTCGTACGTCTCAAACTTCGTACCAGATATGTTGAGAATGATTTTCTTCCTACCTCTCGTGTAGAACGATCGCAGGGGTTCCAAGCTTTCATCTTTTCTGTGGAAACACTGTGCAGTTTCTTTGAAGCTCAATGTCATTGCCTTAACTCATCCCATAGATCAAAACTCAACTCCCGAAAATTTTTGAACCAAATACATAACTTTTAGGATAGAATGTATGAGAAGGTTGGCATGGTTTCCTCGTACTTAAAGCAGTCTGTGCAGACCGCTTGTTCATGTTGAATTGACAGGACAGTGTCAAAGTTGACAAATCTGAATCTGAGGGTGACTTAAGTAGTGACTCAGTTGATAGACAATGTACTGACAGCTATTTTTAGGCAGGTACGTTTTTGCTACCAACGACACGCTACAATCAAATTACCACTCAATTACTTACTTCTGGCATTGAAACGCCTGCATTAACAAAGTTTATCTTCTTGGTTAAAGTGCAAATGAACCCTTCGACAATACTTTCAATACTGATCATACATGAAGTAAATAGTTGAATGGTAAAATATTTCTTGATTTGAGTGATGCGTTTCTAARTTATGAAGGTTTATACTTTCAATATGCTAATAAGTGTGACGTCTATTAAGGCTTAATTAAATATACAAAATCGAACTGGTTCATAGATACAGTATTTAAAAAGCATCATTATTTTACTCATGGTTTACATGAAAGCTATTTAAAATTTTTATTTTCAAAATGACCAGCATTAAGTATTACTAGTTACAACAAAAACACTCAAATACCTTACCTGACGTCATCATCATTAACATATTGGAAGTATAAACCTTCCTAACTTAGAGACGCGTCACTCAAATCAAGAAATATTTTACCAATCAACTATTTACTTTATGCAGAACCGGTACTGAATGTATTGTCAAAGGGTTCATGTGCACTTTAATCTTTATGTCGATTGATCAGTGAATATTGACCCACTAATGAATATAGCTCATGTTTTTTCCATTTTTGTTTGAAATTGTATGTATATATATATATATATATATATATATATATCGCTGATATTTATTTTAGGATTTTTTTATTTTGAATAAATAAAGTGAGGACAACCACAGATTGTCACACACACAAAATGATAATAATAGATAATATTTAATGTTTATAAAGCACGACTTTAACATTTGAATATGATCAAATTCGGGAAGGGAATTTTGTTAATATTACATTCTTTTCTTCTTGATCCAAGAAGATCAAGTAAACTTGAGAACGTATCATGTTTTTGATATCCCCAGCTAAATAAACTAGAATCACGCCACTTGTTTAAATTTAACTAAATTGTAAACCCAGATCGGGCATCGCCTATCTTCTGTTTATGAGTTACGCTCACCAATATCCTCAGAACTCGGTTTTTCGTCGACCAAAAAATAAATAATATAGTGAACAAATTTGTCGTAAAAACCGCACAGAAAAATAATTCAATAAAAATATTGATACGAAGTGGCATGAAACAGCAGACGAAAAAAGTCTTAGAAAATCGAAGAAAACCACCGAAGGCAATAATCAAAGTTATTCCCAGCCCTGAGCACCATTGATATATGATAAAACGTTTGGCATGCCACAGGAGTAGTCGAGAGTTACCATGGCGACGGTTTTCAGGAAGGCAAATGCTTCTACATCGCAGGCTCAACGCTAGCTTTTTTATCTTCGAAGAAAAAGAATTTCCATGTATTTTTGTGTTGTCTTCCTGGTGGCATTTGTTGTGTATTTTGTCGTCTTGAGATGTTTTTGATGTTTGTGTGTATAATAGTCCAACAAGAGATAGCAAGCAGTTCAGTTGCAGATATAAATGAATGTAAGCCGTCACCTCACAGGTGCTAACCAAAGACCACCCGTTGGCTGTAAGGACATTGAACTCCAATGGGAAAAAAGTCACAGTTGACAAAAATCGTTGATAAACTGCGACCACTACCAAAGAAAGGACCATGTTATCATGAAACACAGAATTAATCTTGAGAAATCCACTTTCCTTGGTGAAAAGCGTCGATAGAACAGCGAAAACAAAGTAGATAAGTGACGAAGAGAGTACGAAGCTGTACCAATGGCTTGAATTACAGATAAATATCTGTATATCCATGGCTCGATGTGAGTTATTGAATTAGTTAAACAGTCACTTCCATGGAAAGTTTTGGATGTTTCCCATAAAGTGAAGCGAAACTGGAAGTAATTTACCATTGAAATTTTGCCATTCTCGTATTTGTCGTTCTTAATTTGAACTCGTGAACCGTAAATAAAACCACCCGACAGTCAAATATTTAAAAACTGAGCTATCTGAACTCAAAGGCATCAAAAGGCATCTTTGTCAATCAGAACTATCAGTATTTGCTACCATCTTGGAAGAACATCTCCACACAAGCAGGTTATAGCAGTGAGAAAGGCGAATATGTTGACTTCGTTTTTCGAGGCAGACAAAACACTGAGTAATTAGTCAGTGTCGTAGTTGTTTATTTATAATTCATTGATGGGTAACTGGTTTTCCATTATTTCAGTTGATTGCACAATCTTACTAAGATTCCCAAGAATTTTCAACAGGTCAAACATCGGAAACACTATAGACCCTTCACTGGACAAAATAACATGGCTGTTACACTACCACTGTTCAAAGGGCAAAAGCATTTAAGCTTCCTTTATTCAAATACAGACTTTTGCTGGATTATACTAGATACATATCCAAAACCTTCTCCAAAATGCTTTTTACCTCTTACAAGATACTTTCGATTTCAAGTTCCAAAGCAATTTAACGTTCGTTTGCCAAGAGCAGACTGTTTGTTGCAAATGGCCTCAATATTTGAAAATGTACGAACGAAACGGTACGAAAGGCTAACGAGAAAGAGCCGAGGTATACTGGGAAAAAGAAACGAAATCATAAACGAAGACGAGGATTCAGGGCTATTAGTTTTCTTTAATTCAGTCAATCGGTTTATACACATTTATCAGTTTTATATACTGGTATTGCTAAAAATACTAATACTAAGGTATTGCTTTAGCATTTATTAAAGACATGTTTTGCTAAGTAATTTGCCAAATAAAAGTAGCCAGTTGTAGGATTTGTACTGAAACACTCCATCCAGTGTTTTGACGAGTCTCCAAGATCTCTTGAAGGATTTAGAAAATAGATAACTGTAAAAGATATGACACTCAATTGATTACGATTTACTTTTTCAAATTTATTAAATCATAGCATCTCACTCGCAATGGATGATGGAATGAACCTGTATCATCCTCTGTATAATTCTCCTACTTTCAAATACCCATAATACTTTGCGGCTTTGTGCGTGACTAGAGGAAAAAGCCGCACTTATTTTGCAGACAAAGTTGAAAATACCTCGTTTGATATCCAAATATAAAATGAAGAAGTACAAAACAGAAAAAATATAGAAGCTTGAAGAAGTTTACAGTAATTTTTTTAAAATTCCGTGGGTCAATACATTTTCTGTAACACCAGACCTCTTGATGTTCTGTACGCGCAAAATTAATTCAGATAAACTGATAAACAAGTGCGTTGTACAGATAAAAGCAGGTATAGTATATATTCAATCTGATTGGTTAACCTGATGAAGCAAAGCATAAATTGTACTATTTTGTACAAATTAGTAATAAGTAAATTTTTAGTGTGCACGTGCAATCACTGAAGCGCGATTGTGCGAATAATCAAGTCAAGCGCATTTCACATGCGTATTGTGGTTGTTTTAGCTTTAGTTGTGTCTCGTGTCTTGATTTTGCAGAGCGCGAAAGAATACAAACTTTAAAACCATTTCACTTGCATATTGTGGTTATTTTAGCTTTAGTTGTGTCTTGTCTTGATTTTGCAGAGCGTGAAAGAATAAAAACTAAATAAACCATTTCACTTGCGTATTGTGTTATTTTCTATTCGACGCACGTGCGCACTTGCTCTTCACGCTTCAACTAATTTTTAACAAAATAGTACAAAATTGTTTTACTAAAAGCACTCTAGAGAATAAACATATACTCAACACAATAAATAGACAAAATAACTTCAAAACGAAATTCAAAATGGCCGACACGCGATAAAGCAAATGCCACCCGACCAAAACGGGATTCTGCCATGCTCCCTTGTTTTCTGCCAACCCACGCGTGCTTTTTAAAGCTGCACACAGCAAGCGCTCGCATTTTCTATTTCTTCAAAAATGAAACCTTGCGGTGCGTGAAATATTTAACAATAGTTTTCTGTACTAGTAATTTTGCAGGTCAACCGTGTCAACAGCCTTAAAATGATTGAAGTCAAGATGTTCGCCGGTATGATTTAATAGATTCGTTACCTTAGCACTCAGTATATATTATGACTATGAAGGTTTGCGTTTGTCTTCCGCAATTAACTATCAATAAATCTCTTGAATGATTTAAAAACAAATTACTGAAATAATCATTGTCTTCGGCCATTAACATAAAGGTTAACCAGTAGATATTTATATCTATCAGGGTTTTCTAACATATGTCGAGGAGCAAAAAACGAATCAGAATTGATATCAGCCTCAGGTAACTTC